CCTGGAAGAGGATAAGCTGGCTTCATGGATATTTCATGAAATTTCTTAGCAATCGGGTACAGAAAGCGTCCCTAGCGTCAACCGGCATTGGGTCGAGGTAGCAGCTCTAACCTTTGACAGCCGTATCAAATCTCAATCTTAGTTTTTAGATAAAATGCCTCGAACCAATCTAAGCGTCACAAAGAAGAACATGAATGCGAAACAGTGAACGCATCCAAAGTTATCTCAATCAAATAAGCGGAAAATTGAAAGGGGCAATTGTATGCCGTGGCTAATGCACCGAGTTCGGGTGAATCACGGGAGCGTACAATAGATGTGAAGAGCACATTGGTCGATTTCCAGCGGAGAACCAAGCAATATTAACTGAAGGTTATGAGCTAAAAAAATAAATCCCTCTACTTCGTGAATCACTCATCGGCGTCAACCAGTCACTCAGAAAATGACTAATAACGACGGTGGCTTTTTCATCGATCCGATTTATTTTATTACAGGAATCACAACTAATTCTTCACATTACATTCTATTGAATACCACACACTTCTAGAAATTAGTCACTACTTCGAATCCCCGATAGCAGGAAACTGACTGATCGAGAAGGTAACCACGACGATGAAAAATTGTGACCAAACTGGTCATTTGAGCTAAGACACACACACACCTAGAAGACAACTGAATCAAAAGCCAAAATGCGAAAGTTCATTAAATTACCTTGAGGTTTAACGAAACTATGTCGAGAAGAAAAAGGGATTTTCACCGCGACAAAAGAATTGTACACATTGAAGCCACCATCCGTTGAAATCACTTTATCCCTCTGTATAAGATTTTAAGATTATTTTCGTTTTCATTTTATTCAGCTTTCTGCTCAACAATGCTTCTGATGCATGCTTTTTTTGGGCGGGGTGTAAACTCTGAAGTGTTGGTGCATACTTCGGTTCAGAATAGCCAAAATGTTTTCTATCGGGCTCATATCTGGACTACAATCAGGGCACTCCATTGTGGTTTCGATGACGCCAAATGATAACCTGCAGTTTGTTCGTTGGGAGTAATGGAATTCAGTGAGGTTATGCGGCAACAGGGGCTTCAGGCTGATCATTCGATGTCACGGTTAGGATATGTCGCTCTAAAGTACGAAGATATGTAAACCACAATCTTGACCACCCACCCCCCACACACAACATAGCCAGTTCGGTTGAGGCATTTCGTGATACGGCACCCCGCATCTCATCACCGACTTTCGATTCCTTATCTGCTCTTTCCACAGATCATAATAGTAATAAATCCACGCGTAAGCCTAAATGAAGTCTCTTTTCACTATTAAAGTAGAAAAGATTTCATTCACTTTTTTCAAGCTAACCGAGAGTCAATTTGCAATGTCTTTCTTCTCGAACATAAAAAGACTATTCGGAGTTTAAATGAGTCATTTGAACAAGGTGGTGGTGGACAAATGAGTTGCGTGATTTGCGCTTGGCTAGCGATTGCGATCAAGTTGGGTGTTTATTGATTGACAAGATCGTATAAATATGCGTTCATAACTGAAACGTATTTCCGTTGGTAAAGGTATTGGAACTATGTGCCTTCTCTTGTATTTCATCCAAGGGAGCGACCGTTTCGAGTGTTCATTGTACCGAAATGTTCAACTCGAGCAAGGTATTCGATGAACGACTCAAGGGGTTTGAGGCCCTACGTAGGAATCTACCCTTACCTTTTCCCGAGAGCTTTTTCAGGTGTCCATTCCGTTTATACATCATTTTAGCTGTTTCCGGTTCAAATATCGTGCCACTGTGATCGGGACCTAATAGAAGATCTGGCTACCCTTGGTTTGTTGATCTCACGTAAGGCAACATTTCTGGATTCCTCGTTGTCAGCAGCAGCAGTAGAAGTAGAAGCCTATCTGTTCCACGCACGTGTTTACGTGGATCTGTTGGTCATTCGATAGCAAATATTTTACTTCAGTCATATGCAGTCAGACGGAAGTAAAATGAGAAGGGATTAAGGTAACCGAAAAGTCGGATCCATGACGCAGATACGAATGTATTTATACCATCCATGTGCGCCGGTAGGATGTTCGACTACCTGCCCTTGTGTAACTATTAAAAAGACACATTGTGAGCAAGCACTGTTGATCCCGTCACATTAGAAGTCATGTGATACCGATAACTGAGGTTTGTTGCCACGCGACGGATATGGTTGAGTTGACGACATACGAATTTCTAGGTCAATCGGCACTGAGCTGTTACACACATACACAAACATGGCAAACACGCATACATAGAGAGAGCTGGCGAATTTTATGAGCACCAGATCCGGCGGGTCCGGGTTCTTCAACAGCTGACCACCGAGTGAACCATGACAAGGGAAAGACTACAAATGATCAGTGCAATGGACAACCGGAATAGATTCAATTTATGCTAATTGGCATTCAGATTGTCTTTGGCTGAAAACACTGTGGAATATGGCATCGAACCGAAATCAGTGGCGTGGACGCATCCTCTCCTGGGTTTAATCTCCAAAATAAACAAAAAACGAAAAAAAATCAAATCAAATCAAAAGGGCGTGCAGTAAAGAAACAAAAAATTGTTACTTCTCCAAGTTGACTGTTTTATTTTCCCCACTTTTGTATTTATACGTTTTGTCAATCCCTGGTTATTTTGGCGACGTATCTGTAAGGATTGGTGTTAAATATATATACACCCGAATGGGACCAAAGATGATTTCTCTCGCTGTTTTATTGTGATGCACAGGAAATTGACTGTTTGAACAAGATAATGCGAAAAAAGTAGATCACTTCGAAATGCGAATACAAAATAACTTTATTTGTTGCAGTAAGTAAGGAAATAAGTGACTTATGTTGAATTAATCCATTTGGTAATTACGTGTTAAGATCACATTCCACCAGAGCATTCCTTCAATGAAGCAAATCGGATAACCAGTCCAGTACAATATGAAGCAAACAATAGTAAGCGCTCTGGAAACGTTCTTTTCCCGATAGAAATTAAACAAAGGATTAATTGTATAATTACCTGATTCAACGCTTTTGTATTTAATTGAGGTTAGCATTTCATTCACGTGAACCTTTGTATTCCAACAACAAAATATCATGAATCACTATTATCGCACATGTTCTATTGGGACCTTCTGTAATTCGCCACTCTAAGTCTCCCGGGACTTAGGATGCCAGTTTCCGTCACTGAATTGTAGATCATCGCTACTATGGGATCCATCCTGTCTGCTGTTCCGTCGTCTCTCCCCCCCCCCACACACACATACAATGAATGTAATAAAAAACTTCACAATTTTTTTTAAATTCGTGACTAGGTAGTCCATGTGACCAAAGCTGCTTTGGGCTTGAAACAAAGCGGCTCTATCATGATCTCGAGACGTGGGTAAATATACGGGTGCAGTGGTATCGTCAATAGTTAACATCGGACACCTATCTTATTTGGAAGCATTCGAAGCTTGTCATGAGTGCCGGTAACAGAATACTGAGGAGAATTTCAGATCGCGAGAGAAAAGTTGGACAATAAAATTCTGCTACGTGAATCTCTCACATGAACAACGCGTCCCCACTTCGATAATCGGATGCCATTATAAAACTCATTGTGCTA